TCAAGTTTCTTCTGCTCTTCCTTTTGCTTCTGTTTGAACGCTCTATCTTCCTCATCCATCTCCTTGGCCTGTTTCTTGGGCTGCTTCAGGGGCATCTTGCCACCCTTGCAGCCGGACATGGCTCCCGCATACCCTCTAGAGCCGAGCTCAGAAGCCAGTGACCCTTACTTCAATTTTCTTATGCATGTTTTTGTTCTGTCTTGATGGTTTACTTTGTTTTCTAGTTCATTCTTATTCATTTTTTCAGGCCTAACTCAAATGCTTAATTGGGATTTAATTCCTGCAAAATTTCTTCAATTATTCATAGCATCTTGTACATTTCTATGAGTATAGATGTTGAGTCTGTGATTTTACCCAGCTCATAGGCTACCAAGGCACTGTTTGTCACTCCCGCATTCATGCTAGCAGAGACCAAGAGTCTAGTGGGTCAGAGACAGAGAACTTCAGCCAGCAGAGTGCACATCGTGTTTGTGTCGCTTCCCCTCACCTCCACATCTGGATGGAGCATGTGACCCGGGCCCAGGTACACATTGGACTCCATCACACCTGAAGACGTGTAAACCTGGTTTTCCAACTGTGTCATGAGCAAGCAGTAAACAAGATTGTCTTCATGCTGGGGAGAAACTACTTCTATTCTCCTGGATACTCACTGGAGACAACTCCAAGAAACGAGTATGAGAGAGAAGTTAGAGCCTTGCATTCTTGACCTGTGAGGAATAAATACAGTAATTTAATTGTGACATATAATAATCTGTAGAAAAATGAGAGGCTTCTTCTCCACTCCATGTCTTGGGATACATTTTATTTTCTATGTTGGCAAAGTATACTTTCATCATCTCCCTTAGACAAAGGAAATTGACATATATTTGTCAAATACTGTGAATTCAGTTTAAACTGTTTAAGAAAACTATACAATTTTAAGAAATACTTCATATGCTTAAAAAACAAAAGTTCTTTAGACTTCTCAGTTCATCTATTTAAAATATATTATCTTTTTCTGGTCCCTATAGATAGCCTTTAATGGAAATATAAATTTAAAAAGTAAATCTCTATTTGCAGTAAAATAAAATTAATTCTGAATTTTTAATTTATTTATGTTCTTTCCTTGATGTTATTTAAAGTATTTATTTTAAGTCATTAAATAACCAATAGAAGTACATTCTGCTATTCATAATTTGTTAAGCACCTTTGAAAACACAAGTATGTAGTCTTCTATAGCTAATAAGGCAACTAAAATTACTAAATTGAAATTGTTGTCAAAACTCTCAAGGGTAAAGTGTGTAGAAGAAAATGACAAATTTTGAGTTAGACTCAGAATTTAACAAATATTCTTATAGAGCAGATGTTAAACTTTCTAGAATTTTAAATATGCTGCTGAAAAGTCAGATGATGTTTTAATACAAATTAGAAAAGAAACTACTTCTATCACAAATGTGTACTAATAAAAAAGAAAAGTACTTAGCTGGGCGTGGTGGTGCACACCTGTAATCTAGCATTCTGAGAGACTGAGGCAGGAGGATCACAGGTTTGGGCTCAGCCTGGGCAGCTTAGTAACTTAGTGAAACTGTGTAAAAGATAAAGCAACAAAGCAGGTGGGTGTGCCTTGGGTGAAGGCCTTGGGTTCAAATCTCCAGTTCAGCGGGGCAGGGGAGAAAGGGAGGGAGGGAAAAAGAGAGAGAGAGAAAAAATACTTTTAATTTTTATTTTTGTTTTCTATTTTGACATAGGTGTGAATCATAGTTGGCAATAAAAAATAGGTGGATGTATGAGACTACTTGGTGAAAAATCATTAATGTACAGATGAAATACACGTGTATATATGTTTAAAGGATTTCAATTTCATTTTCGTCATGTAAGCGCAAATACTCATTTCCTTACATAATTCTCAACTATTGTTTGCTTGTTTTATAGGAAAGAAGCAGCAGATTTTCATGCAGACCACCAGTCAAGGCCCTTTTATAAGTAAGTACTTAATTGGAATGCGGTAGTAGTCATTAGTGTAGGGTATCCTACAAAACTAGGCATATTTGTATAAATAGAAATTTGATATGTGAGAATAATTTGTCAAAAGGATCAAAATAGCATCTTGCACCTTAGAATTGTTTCCTGTGCATTGTGTTTTCTACCCTTTCTTATCTACTGAAAGCATTATGTGTATCAGCTCTCCACAATAAATGTAGTCATGTACAATATGTACTAATAAAAATCAAAATAAAAAAGAAACACATTATTTAAGTTACAAGAAATAGCTTTCTTTTTATATTGCAATTAACTAAAAATATAGTGATAAATACACTTTATTATTTGTTGTGTTTTTGAAGTCTGTTTGGTATATATTTTGTTCCTTGAGTTATAGCAGATATTATGTGTTAGAAAATGAGTCTCCATTTTGATTACTTGGGATGTAATTCAAGCGGAAGAAATATTCTGTATATTCAATAATATTGACAGATAAACGGGTGTTTGTATTCTGATAAGGAAAACTGTTATTTTAGATAGATTACTACAATAGGCATACTAATTGGTATTTTATACAGAATGGTGTTTCAAAATCTTCATATATAAAAATCACTGTTGTAGATTGTTATAAATCAAGCATTATAACACATTTCCAAGCCTTGTTAGAATGGATATGTACAAAGTTTTAACAAAGTGATGGAAATTATTCTTGGTTATAGGTTCTTTGTATGTATTTATAGCATCGAGTACAACTCCTACTTTAATTAATCTTACATGTAATTTATATGCAGTGAATTTTATTAAATAGATGAACTAGTTGTCTGGTTGGCTTGTTGGAGTGTTCTTTGGGCATCTAAGGGCTAGCGGAATATTTTAGAAGGAGATCTTGTGGTCCTCTGAGGGTAAAGGGTAAGAATGCCTCTTTACATGTTATTTTTTACAAATGCTATTCAAACTGAATTGAGCTGTTTACCTATCAAAGGGTATTAGTTCCTAGAAAATGGTGCATGAGGAAAGTTAAGTTTCTGAAGCAGTCATAAGTT